CCTCACCATCAATTGCTTAAATTTTGTGGAGCCAAATAGAAACGCTTAACTAGCGATTGTTGAATGGCTGAATTCCAAACCAACAAGGGAGTCGGCGGGATTTTCACTCAGAGGAAGGAGTGGTCGGGCGGACTGTTTATATACTGGAATTGACTTCAGGATACTGCATTTACTGAAGTCTTTCTATATCTACCTACAGGTGAGAGGTAGTGCGTACACTTGTATTCCTAGAGGACTCGCATGTGTTGCAGATCTTTATCATTGCTAGTAGCATTCATATTCGTCCATAGTTCTTCCTATATTCTACTATGGATGGTGTATGACGATTCTTCTACGGTCACTTGTGGGCAAATTGTAATATCTTCCACCATATATAACCCTTTGTCAGTGTTATCCGATGAATGTAATAGAAACTACTGTATTTTTTCTTGCAAAACCATTCTACCAACTATAATTGATTTTAATCTCATTGCTTGGTTGCATCCACTTGTCATCCACAGGCTACTGTCATATTCACTGCACACCAGTCTAATGTCATAGAAAATCGGTGTATTCAGTTGTATGTTAACCAGTGTTGACTGTAGCCTCTTGCCATGCTCACTACCCCTTGCAATGTAGTTCGTAGATACTTTCATCAGTCACAATTTCCTCCATGCTTTGCTTGTGATCTTTTGTATTTATAGCAATTAAGTTGTTACTATTTTCCAGTATACTACATCAGGCATGATTGCTTATAGATAGAATACTGTATATTTATTTGCAAATTAGCCATCATCGATTGAAAGGAAGTTATATCTTTCGCATTACTCTTGCATTGGAGCACAGCGGACCAACTTCAACCACAACTTCCAGGCATTCGCCCTCCCCGATGAGGGCGACCTCAGAAGCTCCTCTCTCGGTCAAGAAAATCTTAATCTTTTATAGCTAAAGACAAGCCTCCCATACAAGATAGATCAATGTTTAAGCTAACAACCTCCTGTCCCCCGCAAGACGCCTCAACTACCTCTACGTGCTACATGCTCCTCTCACATCAACAAGACGACCTCAAATTGACTTTAGACCAGCCTCTTACTATATGCCGGCCTAACTTTTCAACTGACAACGTGGCGACCTCAGATTGGCTCCATACCGAAGTCAACTCAATCCACGAGTTCATCCTACTCGCGCCCCCTTTTACAATATTTATCATTTCACTTGGCATGGATGACCAAGCTACATCAAAGACGGACCGAACAACTACTGTGTCCTGTACACATCCACTATAACTCTCCAAGCCCGATAAAAGGGGGAGGGGGTGAAGGGAAAGAGAGATTGAGATCGATATGTACATCTCTCTTAGATTGATCTATTTTTAACTCCCACATCTAAGGAGAAATACATGTTGTACATTTTTTTTCTTAGCTTAAGCTTTGTAGCATGAAGCCCTCACATCCATTATTGTTATACATCTAGCCAGGATAATAAAGCTTTTGCCTTGATCTACATCTCCTCTCATTGTTTCTCTCTTTTCCCCCAGTATTCTTACTTCATCATCTCCATCTCTTAGCCTCTTGTTCCACAGGTAGCCCAGAGTATAGCCCAACATCATCCGCCGAATAAATCAGGATTCAACAATAAGCACAAGGATAGTTGAAGGGAGAGCTGTCAAAAGTAGAAGGAGATCAACCAGAGATAAACAAAGCAAGTGAATGGGGCGATATCAAGAGTAAATGATAGCAGGCGAGTGAGGTGTGTTACGTGTGTCATGACTAATGAGTTTGGTTGCCTGGAGGGAGCTCTCGCCGCTTTTATGCAACAAGGGTTGGTGTCATGGGTGAAATGAGAGAGAGAGAGAGAGAGAGAACTTCTTTGTGTGAGGTTACAAGCATAAAATATAGGGTAGTTTTGGTGCATGCATTGTGCAAATCATATGATTGTTACATTGCATGCATGAGATACTAATCAAGCTTAATAGGGCTCAAATCAATGTTCAATAAGTAATTGGGCTTAAACATAAGTACTATACTTTTAATTAAACAAAGACTTAATATTTGAGAAAGATTTTGTGGATCAAAGAATTCTCGCTATGTTGATGAAGCATAAGATTAATCATTTGATACCATAATTAAAATATTAAAGCCTTGATAGAAACATGATAAACCTAAGCCCTAAAATTTAGGGTTTAACTATATTAATGGAACCACCAATTAAATAGACGATCCAAATAGGTCTAAATTTTTAGGGAATTAAATTCATCTTGGAATCAATTAAGTTATTGATTAATTAAATAGGATTAATAAGCCCCTCTTTTTTTCTTTTTTTTTGTGTGTGTGGGGGGGGGGGGGGGGGGGTTTGGGGGGTTGGGGTACGGTGCGCTCTTCCTTCACTAAATTACTAGAATAGTACCTAATCCAGTAAAAAGAAAACATCAACTAGATAGAACGCCAGTCCTAAACAACTTATACCAGGTACCATAAGCAATACACCAGAGTAGATGAGGGAAATGGCAATATCTTGTACTTTATCGGAGATTTCTGGGTGGAAAAAGCATTTTTATACATTATTCACATTGCAAATAGGTTTCCCAAAGGCTGCTACCGCTAAATATCTGAAGAAACAAGAAGAAATTTTGCAAACTGATGAACACAGATTCTAACAAAATGAACTAGTTCATCTAATTCTATGAACCTACCTCCCTCAGAAATTCTTTCATCTGATCTTCGTAGAAATCTTGATCATCAAGGACCTTCACAGCAACATCCTGCAAGCTGCGCTTTCAGTTAACAGATCAAAGAAAAAGCACTGAATTGTAATCATGACAATAAAAGTATTAATCTATGTATTGAATTATAATCATGAAACTTAAACATTTGTTAGGAATCTTCAAAGCAATTGAATAGTACACGATTATTACATCATTATAATCTTATGCTCAACACTTTTTCCGAGGTAAGAACTTCTAAAGGATGTGACTATTTAGATGGAGACGAGAGAAAAAGTGCAAGCCTGTAAATTATCACAAACATTTACAATTAATTAAATCTGAGAAGCAACGGTAACAACTGACTTTGGCGTTTTCAAGAATGTAACTTGAAATTTGCTCAGTTAATTTCTTGTTCTTAAACCCATTATTCACCGATACATTAGCAATGAAGACAAGATGATAGCTCGTTAGTCTTGACTTTGTGTGGCTGTTCATTGTATGTGAGTGTGACAGAACCATTCAGATTTGTGAGCCATTCAGACAAATCAGTCCACATAGGTCCAATTTCTCATAGTTCAATGAAAAGAAGTGAAATCGCACAACATAAAAGTTGAATTGGACCAGTTTTAAAGCTTTTTTTGACTCATTATTGGCTTTTGACAAATTTTGCATAATTTAATTTCATTTTCCATTAGATTAAATGTAATAAAGAAAAGGATGATGATGCGGACATCCAACCGTCCATGGTTATCCGAGGAGCTGAAGATCAACGGCTGTCATCGTCCCACGTTATCTTGTATTTTATTTGTAATTTTTAATTTTTATTATGAATTTTCCGTTTTTACCCTCACTTAAGAGGGTCGTCCTTAGGGGCATATGTGTCTTGTTTTAGTTTCTTAGGCCTATATATAGAGGCCCTTTCTTATGTAATGGGATGATGAATTGTTAATGAAATTTTATTCTACTTGTTGTGTATATCCTTGTATGGCTCTGTACTTTGAAGTATTTGTTTTGATGTAATTAGATCTCTATTAGATGCTTCCACTTATGTAATTAAAGAAATGTTATTAGTGTTTTATTCAAATGATGAAAAAAGTTGAGTTTATATATGTGACATTCTACACTAATGTTAAGGGTATGGTGGGGTGTTACATCTAATTAAGTGCTCGACTAGCCTTTGATAACATTAGTATAGAGGGAGAGTTTATAACTTTCAAAAGTATAATCTCTCAATAGAGTTTAGAACTTGATAATTTGGAAAGTCAATGTTTTGTCAATTTATAGGCAAACTTCCTTGCACCTATGGCTTATTGGGGGAAACTGGTGTCACTACCAGGATAAATCATGATGTGGAGCAAACCAGTTTAAAGACATACAAGTTTATATATTGACAACATCAATTAAAGAAAATATCATGATATGGTTTCTTAAAAGGGTCTAATCTAAGTTTTGCTAGCTCAAGAAAAGCCACACTAATTCATGAATTTAGGCATAGAGTCAATGCCTAGAATTTATAGGAAGATAAATTAGGACTTATGCAAAACCAATTTTTTAGTAAAAAAGTAATCATTTGAACCAATTAATGTATGTTCAATGAAACTGAAATTAGTTTGTTCCTTATTTAATAGAGAGTGATGTGGAGAAAAGCAAGCAACAAAGAGGGAAAGAAAATGCAGGACTTAGAGAGAGTGCAAGTGTTGACCCCTAGATATCAAACCACATGAAAATAGGCTAAAACGGCGATTTAAGCAACGTGCATGTGTGTGTGGCGCGTCACCTGGGCGTGCTCCAACCACGACTTCGCATAAGCCACCCATCCGATCCCGAGCCCAATGCCCGCTTCTTGCACACTCGTGCGCGCTTCTGCCTCCTGCTTGCATGAGAAACTCATAAGTTTGTTTGAACACCACACCAACCCATCCGAAACCAATAATTCTAGAGCCCACCAAGAATCCTCCACCTTCTTTTGTCTCTGCCCTACGCAACCAGGTAGCCCAACCAGCTTCTGTGAACAAGATCCAAATTCGCAAGGAATCCACCATTCTACCCCACTTCTAGTTCCGCGGTCGACTCGCAATCAAGCCCAATAGCATCTACAAAACCCGCAAATGGCCTGTATGCTCAATTTTGCACGAAATCGCATGTCTCCCAGCCTGGCCCACTTATAATACTCCCGCACGGCCCAACTCCTCCATTCCGGCCATCGCTCATTAACCCGTGTGCTTGTTCCCTCACACGTTCACGCGAGCCCTGCTCGCTTGTTGCAACCAGCCCGCCGCCCTGAGCGGCTCGACCTGTGCCTCCCGTGTAACTCTGCTCACGATTGCGACACAAGGTTGGGTCTGTCACCCCGGATCCACAGGGCTCTAGGCCGCTACAACCCGTTCCTGTTGACCGGCACCAGGACGCGCCTCCCGCTCCACTTGTTGGGTTCGCCTGCACGCATTAACGGGTGAACACAGTCTGCTTACTTGTGTGTTGGCACAACCTCCCGTACTGGCCTCCCATCTGCCTTACGCGAATAAAACCAGTGATTGAAGTCGCGCCTCTTTTCCCGTCCGCCTCATGGGAAATGAATTGTAGCTAAAAGTCGGACCTCCTGTCCCGCACATGAACAATTCTGTGTGAGCACGCTCGTCCGTTGCACCAACAGCCCGATCACCTCCTCTTCTTGATTGCAAGAATAACTTTCACCTTGATCTCCTCCACGAGGCTCTGATACCACTTGTTATGAATTCTTGAAGGAAGAATAAGGTTCTTTAACTTCTTGGAAGAGAGAGAGGCAGGGAAGGAAGAGAGGCATAATGGCAGTTAATAGGGATCTTATTATTCCTCTAGTAATTGCCTATCCAATACATCATCTTATAGACTATATATAGGGATTTGACACTGGTGTTGTCACTTGCGGAACAACAAACTAAAATTATGCCAATTATTATAAGTTTTTAAATGGTCACTCAAGTCAATCAAGGTTTTAGAAATTTCCTATCATGTCAAAATTTGAGGTTTATCTCCATAATATAGGCCTTTTGTTAACTCAGTTCCAAACCTATTCTGAAGTGGGATCGGAAGATAGACAGTCCCATGAACATCAACAACACAAATTGCAATTTTAAAACCAAAATTAAATTTTAGTTATTTTTTTGCACAAATGAATGCAATTTCAGTGTATTATGAAAAATAAATACTTACAGATCCATGCCATTCTGCACGGAACACTGTTCCAAATGATCCTGCAGACAAAGGTAATGGACAAGAAGTAAAGAAAAGCAAGCATTAACCAAAACAACTAGATTTCACAGAAACTGAAAAAGAAAGTACCAGCACCAACACGCTCCTTGATTTCTAGCTCATCCCATGAAATTTCAAGCCAGTCCATGGCTAGAGATGGTTCAAGACTTGCATGTCTTGGAATACTAGCTTCCTGATGAATTGGCTTATCCTCACACATCATATCATTTTTCCTGCATTCAAACTGTATAGATACTTCCATTTTGGATGGAACATTTGTGTTCCCTCCAACTTGATGATTCGAGATCATGCCTTCTTTATTTGTGTCTTGAATAAATTCTTTGTCCACAATAACTCCAGGATGCGGATGTATAATTTTTACAACAGCTTCATCGAGGAAGCCTGTTATTGTGAAATGATTGAAGATGAACCTTCTAAAATTTAAAATCAACGCAAAAGTTCCATGATTAAAAGTAAACAAAAATAGGAAAATATTGAAAGCAAGAGAATGGAAATGAAGAATTGGAATTCTCCATGCTATAATAAACAATACTTAGCATTCATTTATGATGGTCCACACGTAAAAAAATTCATCATTATACGTGATTGTCATTTCTTTTATAAGGCCTTATAAGAAAAATCTTTGTTATACACCATGGCCTCCAGGTTAGATAGCTTAGAAATCTTATATTTGCATTCAAACGTTTAACAAATAATCTATAGGAATTTTTTTTCTAGCGGATTTAGGAAATCCTTTACAAAGAGGATTCTTAAAGCCTTTTAAGGATACAAGTTATAATTTACCCAATTTGGCATGGCCATGCAGTGGGCTCCAAGAGGTTTTAATCAATGACTTTTTTCAAAAAAGAGTGTCATTGAAATGAAATTTGTTGAAAAAAGAGCTGCTTATACGGAGAGATCTACCAACTTTTCATTTGAAAATCAACGACCCATAACTCTTGCTTTGAAGCCATTGCCTAACTTTATCAGGAGCATTCTCAGCTGGACCTTGAATTTGGACAATATGATGATGAAATTTATGCTCATCTTGAAGCATAGGAGCATCTCATTGGACAACACAGTTCCCAATATGATGATCATGATTAAAATGATAATGAGTAAGCCACTAATGGAGAACGCAAGCAGAGATGGAAGAATCATATTTGTCAATAGAGAATAACACATTATAAAGAAAATATCTGATTGAATCATAGCGTATAAAGCATGGTATATTTTACAGTTCAAGTAAATGCTTCAAAATACACTTTATAAAGAGTATTTCATGCTAAATTTAGCTACATTATTTTCTTTATTTACAACAATGAAGATTTCAGGATTATTATTCTTTCAACACTTAAACAACAGTTTTACACGTTATTTCAACTTAGTAGTCCTAACAGCTTAAGCCCGGCTATAAATTTGTTCCCAGTAAGATAAAGCAGAGAGTTAAACGAATGGCAGTATTTACCTGAGCATTGAGCTTTTCCAACAGGAATACCGGTATGCCCTCGGTTAAGCTTTTTGTTACATGAAGCATCACTTGTATATAATGTTGGGCAACAAGTCAAATGTGATAGTAGAAAAGGTGAAGGCACAAATGAGAGCAACTGTCCATTAATTGAGGAATCTGGATCATAGACGTTTCCTGGCTCCCCAATTAGATCTACAACATATTCCCTGTTTATGAAGAAAGAAAAAAAAAATAAGAAATCCAAAACACGCGGAGAGGAAATAAGATGGCATGTTCATCTCATTAAAGAAAAAGAAACATCTTCTTCTGAAGAGGTCTTACTGGGAGGCTCCGATTTAGTAAAAAAGAAATTTTAGCATGCACAAAGCATAAATAAGCATGACAGCTTTTACCAAGCTTTTGTTAGCTATTAAAAAGAACGCTCGTAATATAAACAAGCTACCATTATGCAGCTACTAAAACATGGGGGCAAAAAGCCATTTCTACTGGAATGCATGTAATAGTTTTCAATGTAGAGCTCAAATCCTATGGTCATCATCAAAATACAAGAATGTTGAGTTTCTTCCTTCTTTCTGATGCAAATCAGAGGGTTTACATTCATCAAAAACATAAATTGTGATCATTAAGATGAATAAATTGATAACAAGTTCTAGTGCTTGCTGTGCCTCCGAAGCTAGTGGCTGCATCTTCAGGAGTGGGTATGTTAAAAGATCTGTGATGTGATGGTATGAAAGTTTGTGGCAAATGATTGTGATGGTTTCTCCAGCTATCGCCACTTTTGTTTGGAGATAGAGGTGAGCTATTGTCCTTGAGATTAAGATGCTCCAACAGAGATTTTTTCTCTTTAACGGATTCCCTTCTTGGTGTATGAGCCTTGTTACTAAGGCCAACAAGACTATGGAAGTTGAAGCTTATCTCCGGCATGGGAATCAACTGAAGATAAATACATGTTAAGGAGTTTACAGGACTTTAACAATCGATTCTTTCTCCTAGATTTTTTTATTATTATAAATCTAAGAGGACTTGGGTAATGATAAAAAAGAGCCTAACGCATGTAAAAGAACAATCAATTAATCTAAATAAAATTTTAAATGGATGTGTTATGCCCTCTACTTATACCCCTTGATTAAGTGGAGGAAATTATCTACTTGTATAACCCAAAAGCCGTGATTTTGTAACTTCTTTTCCTTCTACTTTATCATTGTTCTCTCAAGCTTTATTATGGGTTTGCATGTGACTGATTTTAATCAAGTTTAATACAATATAGATTTATAAGATGTTGGCTCAAGAAAAAAGGCATGTCGGCGTGAATCCCGCTTTGCAGATATAGGATTCAATTTCTCCTTAGTCATATTGTAATTAACCAGATTTCCCCTTAGGATAGTGTCAGGGTTTATTTAGATCTAAATCCTTATTTCTCATGAGCGCAAGCACTCATAATTAACTACCCCTCTTAATACAAAAGAAAGAACTCTTGATTAAGGATGAATAAATTTAAATATTTTAGTCTCAATTGTGGGGGAAAATGGATGTAAACCCAATCAAGATCTCATAGTTCCGTCATCCCGGGTATACCGTAGGTGATGTAGAACCAAGCTAGCCATAATTGGGGTGGGATTATTGATTTAATAGAGTTGTCGATTATGATCTCTCAATTAAGGAAATAGGAATTAAATCAAATCCCAAATCTAAAGTTAATTTGGAGTAATTGATTGAGAGACTTAATTGGGGGGAGCAAAAGGGGAAATGGAGAGGAGGGGTTGACCCTTTTGATGAGGAATTGATTGGAGTGTTTTATGGCTTGCCAATTCTAGACTATCAATTATGGGAGGGACAATTAAGGTCAATCTCCCATTAAATTCAAATTGACATGATTGGGGGAGGTTTCCTAATATAACTCATGTTATTTTAGGAAAGGGATTTTATATTTTGAATAAATTAAAATCTGATTTGAAAATCTTCCTAATTAAAAATGCGCTAATTATGGAAAGTAGTGACTATGCATTTGAAATTTAAAATTTGAAATCAAATGGGAGAGGTGGGGTGTTTATTGACTTGTCAATCTTGGAATATTAATTCGGGAATGAAATCATGGTAATTATCTATTTGAATTTTCAAATAGCATGATTGAAAGAGCTTTCATAGCTTAACTCTTTTCTTTTAGGAAAGAGATTTCAAATTCAAATTTATTTAAATTTGAAATGTTTTGACTTTCCAAAATTTACAAGAATTTAAATTAGGAAAGTAATGAATGCTTGGTTTCAAAATTTTGGAGCCAAGGAGAGGGGGGTGGTGGCCGGGGGCTAGGAAGGTAGTGGGGCTGGTGGTTGGGTGGGGGAAGGGTTCGGCCAAAGGTTGGGGAAAGTGGAGGCCGGCGGCTTGGTGGTGGTGGATGGGCTGAGAGGTGGGGTAGGACTGAGGAAGAGGAATGGTATCAGAGCGAGATGAAGGTGGCGGCTAGGGGAGAAGTAGGAGAGATAATCGGTGGAGAAGATAAACCACGAGCTGAACGCTTCCTACAGCTGATGGGTAATACTTTTCCCTCACCTAGGGACTTCAAACTACGAGCCCGGATGCTTCCTACTACTGGTGGGTAGTACGTTGCCCTCACCTAGGGACTTCAACTCTCATAAAAAACTCTCAAAGCTCTTAAGAGCTAAGTGCAGAATTTTCTCTTAATAATCATCCATCCCTCAAAAAGAAAGGGGGCTATAAATAGCCAAAATGCAATAATAAGACAAATGAAAAAAGTGCCCCTTGGGGTCACATAGGTCTACTCCCTCAAGTGAGGGTAAAAATGAAAAAAATGCATAAATAAATCAAAATACAAATAATAACTCAAAATAAAGTGGTATAATCATGACCGTCGATTTTTTGCTCCTCTGATAAACTATCACGATCGGATCTCTTCATCATTCTCCAGGGGGTGGAAAAAGAGCTCGATTCTGTCGAGTATGCATCCCGGGAATGCAACCATGCTCTGATAACAAAATGATGTAGAACCAAGCTAGCCATGATTAGGGTGGGATTATTGATTTAATAGAGTTGTCAATTATGATCTCTCAATTAAGAAAATAGGAATTAAATCAAATCTCAAATCTAAAGTTAATTTGGAGTACTTGATTGAAAGACTTAATTGGGAGGAGCAAAAGGGGAAAGGGAGAGAGGGAGGGGACGGCCCCTTTGATGAGGACTTGATTGGAGTGTTTTATGACTTGCCAATCCTATGCTATCAATTATGGGAGGAAAAATTAAGGGCAATCTCCCATTAAATTCAAATTGGTATGATTGGGGGAGGTTTCCTAATATAACTCATGTTATTTTAGGAAAGTGATTTCATATTTTGAATAAATTAAAATCTGATTTGAAAACCTTCCTAATTTAAAATGTGCTAATTATGGAAAGTAGTGACTATGCCTTTGAAATTTAAAATTTGTAATCAAAGGGGAGAGGTGGGGTATTTAATGACTTGTCAACCTTGGAATATTAATTCGGGAAAGAAATCATGATAATTATCTATTTGAATTTTAAATAGCATGCTGAAAGAGCTTTCCTAACATAACTCTTTTCTTTTAGGAAAGAGATTTTAAATTCAAAATTATTTAAATTTAAAATCTTTTGACTTTTCAAATTTACAAGAAGTTAAATTAGGAAGGTAATGAATGCTTGGTTTTGAAATTTTGGAGCCAAGGGGACGGGGGGATGGTGGCCAAGGGCTAGGAAGGTAATAGGGCCAGTGGTTGGATGGGAAAATGGTTCGGCCAAAGGTTGGGGGAAGTGGAGGCCGGCTATTGGTGGAGGTGGATGGATCGATAGGTGGCAAAGGAATGAGGAAGAGGAATGGTATTAGAGCGAAATGAAGGTGGCGGCTAGCGGAGAAGGAGGAGAGGGAGTCAGTGGACAAGACAAACCACAACCCCAGATGCTTCTTGTGGCTGATGGGTAATACTTTGCCCTCACCTAGGGACTTCAAATCATGAGCCTGGACACTTCCTGCGGCTAGTGGGTAGTACGTTGCCCTCAAATAGGGACTTCAACTCTCATGGGAACTCTTAAAGCTCTTAAAAGCTAAGTGCAGAATTTACTCTTAATATTCATCGCCTCAAAAAGAAGAGGGGGCTATAAATAGCCAAAATACAATAATAAGACAAATGAAAAAATTTTCCGCTAGGGTCACATAGGCCTACTCCCTCAAGTGAGTGTAAAAATGAAAAAATACATAAATAAATCAAAATATAAATAATAACTAAAAATAAAGTGGTACAATCATCATGACCATCGATCTTCGGCTCCTCTAATAAACTTTCACGGTCGGATGTTCTCATCAGTAGGTTTCAGTCTACCAATGTTAAAAATCATTGACCGTAGTGTCCAGGGAATCTGATTAGCAGCCATGGATTGCCTTCTCTCAGGGTTCCTGAGTAGACTAAGGTGGTTAGATGTTGTTTTAATTATATTGGTTACATCTATTAGAAAACCCATAAGTTAATTTAGTTTTGGGTTTATAACTTAAAAAGTTTAAATTGAAATAGAACTTGTAGCTTCTATTAGAAGTAGCCCATTGACGGATCTTACAATTAAGCTCAACAACAAGGTTGTCCATTAGTTTTGAATTTGGTTGACAGGTCTTACGATTCCAGGTTTAATTTAGAGTGGGACGTACAACTCTACTTATGAGTTGCCCAAAGATGGGTCTTACAATCTAGCTCTATAACAAGGCTGCCCAAAGATTTAATTATTTGGGTAGGTCTTATAACTTCCTCTTGGAAGTTGCTTAAAAGTGAGTCTTATAACCTAATCATTTAGATTAAGATGTCTATTGGTTCAGATTTAATTTAAGAGGAGATTCTCTCAAATAACATGTCTTACAACTTTTTTATAAGATGTTTAAAAGTGGATCTTACAACTTAATCCTTCAGACTAAAATGCCCGTTAACTTTTTTTTTTTTGTTCAGGAGTTTGATATTTCATTTAGAAAATAGATTTTTCGACTCCTATTAGAAGTTGCCTAGTTATTCGGTATGATAGGTCTTACTTCTTCCCTTTGAAAGTATCTCATTAGTAAGTCTTATAATTTAGCCATATAAGCTAAATTGCCCATCAATTTGAATTTGGTTGAGATTTTAGAGATATTGTATTTTATTTAGAAATTCTCTAAAATATGGTTCTTATTACCTCACTTAGAAGTGGCCCAATAATGGGACTTACAACCTAGTCCTATAGACTAGGATGCCCGAAGATTCAATTGTTTGTTTGTTTGTTTGAGTTGACAGCAGTTGTTTGTTAGCTTGACACTAGACTGTGAGTTTTTGTTGTTGATATTTTTGTTAATTAGGGGTTGTTGTTGTTAAAATAGAAAATAAAGGAAGGGAGGGTCATAGGGAAAGAAGTTTAAGAGAGAAAAGAATTTTGAATTGAATAAAAAAGAGTACAATTGAGGTAATTCGTAAAATATTCATATTATTGTTTATTTATTTATAAGCATTTATAAATAAAAAATGCATATTTTAGGTGGTGTACAAAAAGAGAAGAGAACATAACCTAGAAGGATGAATTACAAAATCATGCATAATTGCTCTAATATAATCCTTCCTAAATCAGCCAACTAAACATGGAAGGAGATTGGCATGATCCAGGTGAGCCTCTCATGGATTCACATCCTAGCCGTGGGATTAAAATGCCAAGGGACTGCTGGGATATAACAGGTGAGTCTCCCACGGATTCCCATCCTAGACGTGGGATCAAAATGCAAAGGGACTGTTGGGATTTAATAGGCGAGTCTCCCACGAATTCCCATCCTAGCCGTGGGATTTAACATATATAGTACCTTAATTTCTTATGACAAGTCCCTCCAAAGAGATGCATTACCTTACACAAGTGTATTGATTCATTAAGTTTACATTATCGATCAATAGTAGTATATAATTGTTTATGATAGATAGTTTACTTCCTATGCATTTTTACAGGCCTATTTGTGCAATCAATTTGCATGAAATTTCTTTCATATTTCATTTAAAAGCCCATTAAAAACTCATTGCATCATTTCCTTCACAATGCATATCAATATATGCATTAGTTTGCATTAGGAAACAATAGATCTTGCTCGTCCTGTACTAGCTATGTAATACGAGTAATTAAGCATATGTGAATATGACCGTGCTGCTGCTTTGGTTGAAAAATAAACCACGTGGCTTTTGTAACTCCCAAACAATTTGTAGCATGAACACGATACAACTTACCTAGTTCAAGAATGTTGGATAGGGAGCAGGAAAGGGTTTGCACATAGTTACATGCATGCTCACAGAAACGAAAAAATGTGATGATACAGAAGAAAGAATACATTTGTGCACACATTGCATAGGCATGTTGATCCATCACATATGCATGATAGCATGCACGGATACCAACGATACAAGTAGGGTTTCGAAGGAGAAAAACCTACTAACCTTAACGATTGCCTGGAATCATCAAGTTTTACAAGGCAAGATGTGCCATGTGCAGATGTACAGTACTTGCAGCCTTGAGCTATCCTACATGGCAAACCTATGTAGTCTGCCAATTCCTGCATACCAAAGAGATCATCCAACTAAAGAAATAAGAAAAAGAAATGCCTACATTTAACACTAAGGCTTCGTTTGTGACAGCTTTCTTTCTGCTTCTTAAAGCAATTTCCAGTACAAATTAAAAATTTTTGTACTAAAAAACTACTTTAAGAAGCAAGAAGAATACCGTCCCAAACGAAGCCTAAGTAATTAGTTTTATCCTCTTGAAGAAAGATAAAAAGTTGTTTCACCGCTCATATTCTGTAATTAGCAACGACCAAATGAGCAAATACGCAACATAAAACTGTGAGGATGAAAAGTGAACAAAATAGATTTTGTATCAACTTCTGGACTACGGTTATATTTTTTGTAGGTCTTCTAGAATCAGCATATGAATTCCAATAATGGTTTCTTACTTTGAAAAGGATGGCACGGTGCCTGCAAAGTCCATACGAGATGTTGCCAATACGAATAACTATATGTTGCTCGAAATTCTTTAGCTCTTCACTAAAAGTTTTCCATTTCTGATGAAGTTCTCCTAGCTCTGTTTTGAATGCACCACTACACAATAAGAAATGTAGTAGATTAAAAAAGGAAAATAAATGAAGAAAAAGAAATGTTGAGGCTAAAAAAAGAAAAATATACCCCATAAACTTAGAAACAAGACCAGCAAGTTGTTTCACCATAGCTAATGAAACCCCAAATGCAGAAAAATATTTCAATGCCTTCTTCTCGAGTTCCTTAAGTTGAGAATCTCCATTTCTATCAATGCAGACAACCTCCATTGAAGAATCGCGAGGATCGACTTCGTTGAGTGCTGCCAAACTAGGCAACCTTTTCCCTTCTTCCGAATTATTGCACATCGCCCACAAAAACGGGTCCATTCCCAAAATATTATAGAAGCCATCAGTTATTTTATCAGAGAAAGATAAGCATCCATTGACCTGAAAATCATATCAACACCTTCATGAGTATGATCATTTCTAATTATTTCTTCCCTTTCAGGGGAAAAAAAAATGCAAGAGCAGCGAATTCACAACAAATAATAATAATAATAATAATAATAATAATAAAGATAAATAGCATGTTGGTGATCAGTATCAGATACATTTATTCTATTTTACCGGGGGCTCTAGCAGCAATTCTTATAACAAAAATTTTTCCAAAAAAAAATTTTTAAAACAAAACATTTAATCTTTCAAGAAACGAACATTAAAATAGAAAAAAAAAATTAAAAGAAGAGCTAAAAATCAACCATCTTAAATCTCGTTCTGACATTACACAACCCAACCATTAGCAGAAAAGAACATACCCAAAGACGATAAGACACGATGCTGCTGTCAGAGGACAAACCACAAATCTCCTGTGCTGACTCCTGAAAGAAATAAGGCTGATCTGCAAGAAATGCTTGCGACGCCAATCTGGTCGCCAAAGTAAATTGAGGATAGCAGCTATCCCTCCCGTTCTGCGTCGAATTCTGAGAACACAACTCTTCCATCACGCTCAAATCCCCCGCAAACACATGGTTATTTACATCATCCGCCGTCGTCCAAGTTACACCAGCCGTAACTCCAGATAAGAAATCCTCCTCAAAGCTACTACTCCCTTCACCGCTTGACAGCCTTCGGAGCTGCTGCAGCGGCGCCTTGTCCTGCCCATCGATCATCTCCGCAACAACCGGAACCTCCGATCACAGCAGAGACCAGCAGACTTCGTCATCACAAGGCAGCATGAAAGGCGATCTCGCTCGAAGAAATACGCGCCGATCTCGATCCGCGGGCTGTATATCGTGACCGTGATCAGAAAGCAACTACTCAGTCTAATCATAGGGGGGATCGATGCATGGTAGCTAACGAAAACCCCGCCCCACGGATTTTTGAGGCATTCCAACGGGCCTCACGGGATCCAAGCCGCCGGCCCATCCTAATATTTCGATACCTAAACCCCTTCAGCGCCTAAGAAACCCTAGCTCTCCACTTCCAGCCTCACGACAATCAACTTCTTCTAAGGGAGACCACGGCAAGCGAGACGAACCCCCTTGCTTTATACAGGGCTGAAGTTGATCGGGTAACCGGCCAGGGAGGCAGATGGGCTGTGACCAGAATACGGCGCTGTGAGCTGTCTGTGTTTCAGCCGGCGGCCGTGACAAGAGGTGAGAAAGGCTCCGCAGCGGGAGGTGGGAGGAAGGAATTAAAAAGTGGGCGCGCGAAACGCTAGTCAAATTCGGGTGTTACGCCGCTCATGCTCCCTACACCGTCCACGTGTACAAAGGCCCGTCCGCATTTGACACGTCACCGGTCGAGATGGGACCAGCGCTGACTCGCAAAGGTGGGGGCAATTTCGACGCGGACTGCTAGGTTTAATTTGACTTCCGTGCTGTTTTTTGACTTTTTCAGTAACAGACGAAAAGGGCGGCCGTGTCTTTTTGTGCGTGAGGATGACGGGGTTCCCGTGGAACCGAAGCGGAAAGCTGAAGGTCACCACTAACTGTTGCTGTTTGAAGGCTACCGTCTCCCGGTGGAGAAGTACACTTTAAACGTAGAGCTACATTTGTATTTCAATTAAATGATGATACGAAGCTAATACATATTATATATTAGTTGTGTTAATATTATTAATTATGTATTGGCTAATATATATTATGTACAATAATATATATTAGTTGTGTATTAGTATATATTATTTGTGTATTAATATGTACTAGTTATGTATTGATGTATATTAGCCGTGTATTATACTATACAGTGTGTACTATAAATATAAATTTAATGCACACCAATATACAGCTGATAAACAATATGTATTAGTTGAAAGAACCTGCAGAAAGCTTTAGAAGGAAAAAGCATAAAATGAGATAGAGGAAAGAAAATTTTCATTTATAGTTTTGTAGTACAATAACCAATTGTGTATATAGAAAGTAAAGGGTGCAGGAGGTTAGAGAAGGCATCATTGTCCTTAGTGGAATACTCCTGTCACGTGCAGAGTAGTGGGAATACTCCTGCTGAGCTAGATGGTGCATGGTAATGTTGTAGAGCTTGATGCATAGTGGAAGTGGATGTTAACAGCCCTCCTCAAATTAAATATATGGTCGTTGGATAGTTAATTTGTCATGGAGTATGTTGAATCTGCTGATTGAGAGGGGCTTGGTTAGAATGTCGGCTGGCTGATCAAGGGAGCTTATGTGGGATACCTCAATCTCTTGTGTTTTGATATGATCACTGATAAAGTGATAATCTATTTCGATATGTTTGGTCCTTGCATGAAACACCATATTGTTTGCCAACGCCAATGCTGAAATATTGTCATGACAAATGATTGTTGGTTTAGAATGAGGTACGTTGAAATCTGTAAGGAACCTACGGAGCCAAAGAACATCTGATGTGGCGAAGGCTAAAACTCTGTACTCTGCTTCAGTAGAAGATTTGGCCACTTTGACTTGTTTCTTGACACTCCAGGAGATGAGATTTCCACCAAAATAGAAACAAAAGCCAATGATTGATTTACGATCCATATAGTTTGCTGCCCAATCTAAATCACTAAAGGTTTGTAGTTGGAGATCGCCATATGTGATTGGAAGGCCATACTCGAGAGTGCCTTTTAGATATCTGAGGATTCGCTTTATATTCTTGTAGTCATCATTAGTTGGGTTGTACATGCGTTGGCATATTATATTCATTGCAAATGCAATGTCTGGCGAGTGACAGTAAGGCATTGTAGCGATCCTACTAGTTGGCGATAGTGAGTGGGATTGGGATAGAGAACAATATCTTGCTTAGTGGAAGAGCTTTTGATGGAGATAGGCATCGGAGCTGCTTTACATGTTGTAAGGTTGGTTGAATGTAGGATGTCTTTGGCATAATGTGATTGGTTTAGAAACATCCATTTTGCTATCTTGGTGATCTGTATGCCGAGAAACAGAGATGCAGTGCCCAATTGTTTTAATGAAAATGCGATTTTCAGTTGATGGAGCAGCTCCTGTATATATAGTATGTGGATGATTCCCTATGAGGAGAAGATCATCAACATATATTGCTAAGTATAATTGAACCTCCATTTTATTGTATATAAACAAGGAAGGATCGAATTTGCTTAGCTGAAAATTGAATTGTATGAGGAAGGAGGTGAGCTTTTGAAACCATTGTCTTGGAGCTTGTTTGAGGTCATAAATGACTTTATGCAATTTGTATACATTATGAGGGTATTGGTATCTATGAATCCTTGAGGTTGTTGCATATAAGCATCCTCTTGAAGCTCACTGTGGAGGAAGGCATTTGCAAAATCAAATTGTAGGAGTGGTCATTGCTTATGGAATGCAATTGTTATAAAGACTCGAATGGTTGGTATTTTAGCAATAGGACTAAATGTATCTTTGTAGTTAATGTCATATTGTTGGGCATATCCTTGCGCTACTAAACGAGCCTTGTAGTGGTCTAGTGTGCCATCCGAATGCAGCTTAATTCTGTATGTCCATTTGTAGCCAAGGACTGAAGTGTTGGTCAGAAGCGGCATTAATGACCATGTTCCTTGTCTTTGTATCCCGCACCAGCATATATATTCTCAATCTTCCACTTTGATAATTCATTCCATATTTTCTTTTGTCAACACCAAGGGGACGAGCCTAAAGAACAACAAATGTTAGACGAGACAGGGGGAGACACCCCAGCACCACCACCACCAGCACCTGCTCACTAATTTCATGCCTATGACTCAATTTTGGAACGACTTAACTGCTTGGAGTTGAAATCAGCTACATAGTATCAGGATACAACTTAGCACTAGGAGTGACTTCACCAACAGCATGCGCTTTTCTAGCAATAGTACGAACTGCATCAATATTAGTACTAAGAGATCCAACAAATATATCAGCATCAGCACGACCTGCTCCAGTAGCACCACCAGCAGATCCAACATCATCGCGAGGTAGATCGAGCCTACTTTAGAGACCAATTTTCTACTATTCACAAGTATTTTCAACCGCACCATCACCACCACATGATCAGGGTCCCTCTTACTTATAGTATGTATGTTCTGGTGTAGTTTATATGCCATCTTTTTTCTTACGGTTGTACTTACTTTTATGTTTTGTTGTCTCTCCTTTTTGATGATATCAAAATGAAGAGTAGGCGTTTGGTTTGGTTGTACTTGTTGATATTTTACTTAGTTCAATTTTGTTTTTTCTATGTTTGTGCTTTTTATGTTGCTTTTCTATTCTACATTTAAAACTTTAAAATTTTAATTAAAAAATGGAAATATATATATATTTTTTCCTAACTTTTAAAATAATTCACTTAGTGAGGGAGAGATTAGGAGAAAATATAATTAACTTAAAAATTCAACCAATAATATTTATCATAATAAAAAAAGAAGAGATTGTTATAATTTGGGATCTCAAGCTTGTGATTTTGATGATAACAAATATTATTAATTATCTTTTTATTTCTCTTAGTATCTATATTACATATCTGCTCTTGTGCACACTAATATTTAAGGTACAATGTACACTATGGCACAAAGGATCAAGGCTCAAAATTGGATAGAATATATTTGATATTTTTAAAAGAGTCTGTATTTTTATTTATTTATTTTATATTTCTTTAGTCAGTTCTATAAAAGGTGTACATCAGCTTAGTGACCGTACACATACACTGAGTGAAAACTAAATTTTTTGAATTTGTGCGGATTGTATTATATGATCCAAACAATATTGTATGATCTATTAAACAGAAATCAAGTAAAATGGCTAATAGTGTAATTAACATTTTTGAACTAATCATACTGTATGAACTAGATCGTACATGATGTTCAGTTTAAATCAAAACCCTAGCAGTCAATTAGATTTATGTATGTATTTTAATTTGAAGTGGTCATACTATACAAACATATTAGTACTGTATGATATTTAAAATATCACCTAAATTAATCTTCGTGATTAATCATTTGAATTAAGATTTAGTTAATATGGTAGATCGTATGGTATGATGTTGATCGTACTGAACAATTAGCATAGACAAAATTTGATCATCCTAGGGATCATCCTGGAACATTGATTTGTTGAACTATTCATACAGTACGATACAAATCATATGGGATAATTGGTAGAGACAATGTTTAATCGTCCCAGCAATCGTCCAATACAATCTGAAGGTAGAATAAACTAATCGTAACATATGATCTAAGAATAATTTTGTACGATCAGTATACTATATTTGCACATATCGTACTAAGACTATTTAGTTGTACTGGACGAACATATGTTTTTGAACCAATCATACAGGGCATTTAGCTATGAATTAAATAATATCTGATATCTGATTTGATATGATTCTAATTTCTGTATCTGTTCTGTAAGCAAAATCTGATTCTAATTTCTGTACGATATGAATCTGATTATGATCTGTATGATATGATTTCTGTACAATTCGCACATATGATCTGAATTTCTGATTTCGGTACGATTCTGATTCTGTTGATCTGATATGTCTGATCTGTTCTGTTTTTGATTTGATACGACTTATGTTCCGTACAGTTCTGTTTGATTTGATCTGTCCGTATCTGTTCTGATTTGATCTGTTTCATTCTGATCTGTCCGATTTGATATTTGTCCGATTCTGATCTGATTTCTGTACGGATTTGTCTGATGTGTTTGGTTTTGAGATTCTGAGAATTTTGATTGGAGGTTTGCTGCTTTGCTGAGCTGTTGAGCTCACTCTTGTTTTATGGTGGTTTTCAGGTTCTGTGAAAGGGAAGGAAGTCCAGGAATAGATTTCAGAGTCTGATCAGTATAGGTATTGTTTTGTACCTTTTGATTTTTGTACAGTCATGGCTTTTCTGTTCTGTCTTTCTTTCTGTCTAAAAGCCATGTACTGTATTTGTAGATGATTGTTGTAGATGATTGTTTTGAGGAAAAGAAAAAGATAGATGTTTTGTTCCGCTGCATTTGATTATTCATAGTAGCTCTGTGTCTGTGTGTCTGTTTGAGTAAATTATTTGGAAGATTCAGTTCCGAACCAAATTCCATAACCAGATCCTGGTCAGTCACTCAGTCTGTTCGTTCCGTGTCGCGACCCGGTGCGAGCGGGATCCGTCCCGGATCGGGTCGGGTCGTAACACATACACTGGGTGAAAACTAAATTTTTTGAATTTGTGCGGATTGTATTATATGATCCAAACAATATTGTATGATCTATTAAACAGAAATCAAGTAAAATGGCTAATAGTGTAATTAACATTTTTGAACTAATCATACTGTATGAACTAGATCGTACATGATGTTCAGTTTAAATCAAAACCCTAGCAGTCAATTAGATTTATGTATGTATTTTAATTTGAAGTGGTCATACTATACAAAC